TAAATTTTATTTTTATTTATAATGTAAATATCAAGAAAAAATAATTTTAAAAATTATCATTTTTTAGGCAAATATGAGTATATTAAATTTAGTACACTATTAAAAGTTATCAGGTGATTCACTAAAAAGAAAAAAATTAAATGATTTTAGAAAATGATAAAATAAGACCTTGGGTAATAATAAAAAAATTTATTAATCTTGTAGTATATGTTAAATAGATATACTAGACCTAATAATCTGTATATATTTCCTGTGAAACTGTATAACTATAATAGATAGTTGTACATTTATATATCAGCGTTAAATATATTTATTTTTGAGTTTTGAGGTTGTCAGATCACTACTAAGGTTGGTGAGATAATGTTCAAAATTATCTGAATCTAGTTTTTATCTTTTTTTGGTCTGATCAGCAATTGTATTGTATGAATAATAATCAAAGATTGATATTGCTAATTGCTTGCGAAAATTGACGTATTTTATATTTCTTTTTCCTGAAATAAATCTACAATATGCAAAGAAGCTATTTGTCTCTGCAACTATAAGATAGAAGGCAAAAATATGATCTGCAGAGTATTTTATTTAAGAATATCATGATAAGAAAGTGAATTATCACGCAAATTATTAAGTATGTCTACAGCTGATCTAAATTCATTATACTCATTAAATACAACAGGTCGATAAAATATTGTATTACTATAACCCTTAATATATTGATCTATTTTTATTTCAAGAATTATTGTAGAATAACTAGCAAAAAGTATGATATCTTTGCGATCACAAATTAAATATACAGTTAAGTTAATATCATTCATTTTGCAAACTTGACTAACAAATGATCTATATGTATCTTTAAATACATCCGTAATATTATTAGGGATATTCTTAGGCTAATAACGATACTTCTTTATCTATAAAATAGAATAAAGACTATAATTATATAAAGTAATGCATGCATCTGTACTATTAAACTATGAATCAGCAATAATTGTTTTATCACTACAAAACTATAGTTCTACTAATCTTAACATAGATGCAACGGTTGCTGGGTATTGATTTGAAAAATTTTTTTTCATAGCACAATTCGAAAGTTCTACTAGATTTAATCTTAAAAACAAATTGATTTGAGCATCTGCAAGAGTTTTAAATTCACATCCAATTGGATGTAACTTTCTGGGTATTTTTCGTTGAAATGGATCTTTATCAACTTTGCTCATCTATTGATATATTAATTTATCTATACAAAGATAAGGACTGGATAGGATAGCTTTGTAAGATTTTCATTAAATTCATTGTGAAACTGCCATGCAAAATGAAAGGGATCATTATTTGCTGATACATCTGTTAATGTCAAATATTTTATAATATTTCAAAATTGTTGATGTGACATATATCTACCAAATACCAACAAAACTTCAGCTATTTCTTATTTAATGGACTAATAATTATGAATATTAGCACATTTTACATATGTCATAATCATTAAAATACCAATAAATCTCATAAATTCTGTCTATGTTAAATCACTCCACTCATGTTTATATTTACATGTACATTTATTGTAGATAGAATTACTACAGGCATTATAAAATCAACAGGTATAAACTGCTTAAAAAATTGCCTGAGTGTTGCTTTAGAGATATTAGCAATATGTATAACTGGTGTATTAGAATAGAAGCAGAATACTTAGCGAGAATCAATCGTAATAATTTTATTGATCTATCAGATATTATTAACGTTATGAATATTTATGACTTCTCCATCTTCACTATCATTAATATTACTTGAAATATCTGTTTTATTACCACTTGTTCTCTCTTCGTCACTTATATTTTGATTGGTGTCTGAACTAGTTTTGAGAAAAGTCACAAACTTTATACGGTTGCTGAGACTTCAATTTTATTTTCTAGTTGTGAATTAAGATAAATTACCTAGCGATTATTACCTTATGCTACTCGTAAAACTATTGCTGAAAGTTGTTTAGTTTTTTATAATTCTCTCAAAGTAGTTGAGCGATATTTTCACCTATAACAGAGCCCAAAATGAAATCTTAGCACCTTCTTTAATATTCGAAGAAATCTGTTCCATTTTAAAGGTTAGATAAAGAAAAAAAGTTAAATGAGAAATGAACTTTTATATTCCTATACATATTTTATATGAATAAGCAATCATATTCATAATATTTCGCAAATTTTGTAACTGATTTCAACTTGCATTAAGAAATCAACTTATTTATTAATTGCCTTATATGTGTAAATTATGTATATAACATCCATTTACTTCATATTTTAACCTTTTCTAAAGATAGACTGTTATTCGTATTATTAGTTATACCTACTATCAGCTAAAATCTAGTCAAAATTATATAGTCATGTGATTGAATTTTGATTAAAGAAGGGTATGAATAACAATTCCCTTTTTTAAATCAGTAGATTTACTTTACGCATGATTTATATGATTTTGTTAATTTTATCTCACATACAACTCTGATGAGCCTATAATATTTTTATAGAACTCCCTAATATAAATAAGCATCTTATTAATTTTGAATCCTTGTTATCTATTTTAACTGGTAAAAATTTTCAGTACAATGTACTTAATTTAGTACAGGTAAATTAAATTCATTAATAATTATAAAAAAATTTTTATTTTTTAGTTTTAATTAATTATTTTAATTAGAAATAATATAATCATTAAAATTATTAATTAAAATCTAAATATTAATTCATTATTTAAATATAAAAGATAAATTAAATAAAAAATTTTATAAAACTAAAGATATTTAGTTTATATATTTAAACTAGTAATTAAAATTATTTTCTAATTTATCATCTAAATATCTATATTATTTTATATATTAGATACTTGGATTATTTTAAATTAAATTATTAATATAATATATATTATTTATAAGATATATGGAAAGTTTGCTAAAAAAAATGGAGATCTGAGAATTTTTTGACTAAAATTAAAATCTTATTATATTTTAATCTAATAATATAAAAACTAAAATACAATAAAAAATAAAATTTTATAAAAAAATTTTTAAAACTCTATTTTTTTAAGAAACTTTTTATATTAGATATTTTTTTATGATAATAATATATTATAAATTATAATAAATACCTTTAAATTTTATTAATTACTTTTTAACTAATTAAAATATATTTGGATTTGGATTTATTTAATTTTAATATTTTCTTTATTAAGTTATTATTAAAAAATAATAATTTTTTGAATTTGTATTAAAAAATATTTTAAATAAGTTTATAAATTTGAAAATTAAATAAAAAGTTTTTAAAAAAATCTCATAAAACTAAATTAATAAATAAGTAATTTGAGTTATTAAATTTTTAAATTAATTAAATTGATTTAATATGATCTAAATAATTAAAAGCTAATTTTAATTATTAATTTTAATAATAAAGATTTTATTAAAATATTTAATTTTAAAATTTAAGAATTAAAAATATTTATATCTTTTTTATTCTAATTAATATAATTAAATTTAATATTTGTATTATATTTTTTAGATTACATATAAATTTATTAATAAAGAATTTTTTAGATAATAAATTTTATTATTATGTTAATAATTAAAATTTAAAATTATTAGTTTTAAATTTTATTAGATTAATTAATTATAAAAAATTTGTAATTAAATTATATTTACAATAAATTTATTAAATGCAAAAAATTATTAATCTTATAAATTTATTTTTTAATTTAAAATAAAAATATCAAAATTTAAATTTTGTAATTATTAATTAAAAAATATATTATTATTATATTTAATATTAATAATAAGTTAAATATATAATATATTAAAATAGGATTATTTTCATAATATACTTATTATTTATATTATTTTTTATAATATACAAATTATATTATCTTTATTAAATTTTATATTTCTAGTTTTGTTATAAATTAAATTAATTAGATAATTATTATAATAATATTTTAAATAATAAAATATAATATTAATTTTTTAAAACTTAAATAAAAATATTAAATTATATTAAATAAATAGAATAAATATTTTAATATAACAATTCTCTTTATAAAATATAATTCTTCATATGATTTATATTATCGAAATAATACAAATATGTGAAAATTTTGTAGCTTATATTTAGTGATAAAAACAAATTATTAATCATTTTACTGAATTGTGCAATAATAAATTTTATATATATATTTTTAAATTTATCTTTTTTGTTAGTCCTACTATATTTTTAAATTATGTTTACTATTATAACTAATCCTATTCTTTATTTGAAGATGTGAAAAGATATAATACAGATCAACTTGTTATTTTTTAAAAAAACTTAAATCTCAATGTGAATATAATTTTAACTTTTCGTCAATAAGAAGTTGATAGTCTTATCTTTATTTATGAATAGCTTAATAACTTTTTAAATATTAGAAATACTAAAAAATTTACAAATATGATTAATAAGTTAAATAATTAAAGAGATTTTATTATAATATAAATCAACATTTATACATCTTATATGTTATTTAATAAATATTTTTTGTTTCAGTATTTTTATAGTATTTATTATTTATTCTATAATTTGTTTATCTGATATATAATTAGAATACTTACATAATCTTGTGTTTTTCTTTTCTACTTTTTATTGGCAAATTTGTTTAAAAAATACATTTATATTATTATAAACAATCTTATATTTAGTAAAAAGCCCTTTATTATAAAGATATTACATTAAGATAATTATATCATATACTTTAAGAATAATTCTTCTAAGAAATATAAGTATAATTATGTTGATTTAGGCTATTTTAATACTAGTAAACTTAGTAGATATTATATCAATATCATGATGAGATTTCAACCATCATAATTAGAAGTCTTACTGATAAGTAAATTATAATAAATTTAAATAGTATGAGTGAATGTAGTCTTGTATTAATTTCTATTTAATAATGTTTATTTTTTTCTTACATAGGTAATTTTTCAAATAGAGTATTTAATTAGATTTAATTAGATTTAATAATATCTTAATTTCTTTGTTTTGTTTATAAAAATAAAAAATCTTAAAAGGTAATTTGATAAAATCATAGAAAGGCTTACCATAAAATAGATGGAATAAGTCATGAAATAAAAAAGTATGACTTTATAGTGAAGTAATATGATATAGTGTTTCAGGTATGTTATTTTTTAATATATTTACTATGATTACTTAAAGAAGAGTATATAGAAAATTTAAAGACCTATCTAGTCCTGATGTATCAAAAAAAATTATAAGAATATTTTATTAATGAATGTAAACTATTACAAATATTTAAAGATTTAAAGTTTGCAGTTAAAGATATATATTTTTTTCTCTATTCATTACTTAAAAACTGAACTTTACATTTATTATTAAAGATAATCCTTTAAATATATTAACCATTGTAACTATTAAAAAAATAAAAAAACAATCTGACAATTATTTTATTAATGCAAATATATAATATATTATATCATTTGATGAAAAGGTCTTTCAGCTCTAATTTTATTAAGCTTATATATACGTAGTTTTAATAAATTACAGATTTATTTGCATTTATAAAGTGATTTAGTACAACTCTAATAATTATGATAATATCTAATTCTTATATAAATACATATTATCTGTAAATTTAAATTATAAATCCAATACTTATTCATTAGCCGAATGAAAGTATCTAGTAATAATTATAGAATGTGATTTGAAAAAATTTAGACAGGTTGATTTATTATTAAAATTTAACTCAGATGCTATAAAACTTATTTGATCTATCAATATAGGTAAAACTATAATGTGTATGAAGAAAACTTAATAATAAGAATTCTATAATTATAAAAGTGATGAAAGAGGAAAAATATTTGTTTTAATTTAAAAGAAAAAAAAATGTATTAGAAAATTTTAACTTATCTCATATTTCAAAATTCTTCTGTATAATAAGAACTCTCTTATTACAATTTCTTTAAATATAAAAATTATAAATTTGCAAAAGGAGAATATTAGAAATATTATTTAAACTTTAAGAATAATACATTTACAAAATATTATGCATATGGATCTTTGAGGATATAATCTTATTCATGATTATAACAAATATTATTATTATTGATTAAAGATATAGTATAATAAGAAATAAAACTGATTATTTTGCTAGAGTACTTGAGTATATATCTGATAATATTTTAACTTTATTAGCCAATAGTAAATAAAATTTATACTTATTAAATATTGATTTAATATGCTTAATAAGGTTATTTTTTTAATTTGCACAAGTTAATAAATATAAAATAAGA